GAAGACCTCCTTTTGCTTACATGTTGACGATTACTTCCATTTATACTCTCTTGAATATCAGTGGAGAAGGCTGATACCTGACATCTTTGTAAAGAAGTCCTTCTCTTTATCAAGTGATCACATACTTGTGTCATTTGAGCACTGACTGAGATACCCTCGGTAGCCAATTCCCTACTTCTATTTTACTGTTATTCACAAGATTCAGCCAACTGAAGAGGAAAATGAAGCCGTTAAGATTGTTAGTCAATTTGTATTTACTTCATGTAAGACAAGAATGCCTGCTAAATGCTAGTATAGTCCATCCTTCTCAAACGTTAACCTGAATGGGAGTCCACTGGGGATCTTGCGCACTGCAGATGAGGATTCAGTAAGCTGGGGGTAGGCCTGAAATTCTGCATTTCTATAAACGCAGGGGACCGAGGACACTCAGCTGATAGGCCCTTGCTGATCTCTGTTCTCTGCCTGCCTTTAGACTGGAAAAGCCAAAATCCATACTTCCTCAAAAAGAAAAAAAATAGACATAAAATAATACTGGCAATTCACTTCTACATAAAAACCTGACTTTATTTCTTCTCCACGTGAGCATCTTTTTTGGTTAATGGACAGGCACACGACGTGGGCTGACTTGGCTTCTGAAAAAAGTCTGACACGGTAGCTATTACATGTATTTCTTTTCATGGGCATTTCCATATTCATACGGAAGAAGAGGAAAAACTCATTTGCTTTGGGAAAAAGTCCAACCAATGATCAGGTTGCAGCTAAATCCCTGAAGGCCCAGCCCCGAAAAAGGCTAAGATCGAAAGATAGAAAAAAAAAGTCCCCTGTGCTATTTGCACTCGGCCCACCCACCAAACTTTGTGCCTTCCTTTCTCCCTTCATTGCAGCTTCCTTTACTGTGTGCAATGGCTGCATACCCAAATCAACAATTAAATTCCCCCTTTGTTTGCGTGGCAGATGACAAATGCATGGAGGACATCTTGTGTTTCCGAGGCAGGCAGGGCACTTACTTTGATTGATGCTCGGTTGTGGAAAAAAATGAGCTGGGAAGGAATTACAATGGAGGGCCTGCAGACTGGAAGGGGATATACTAATTAGTCCTGCATTAAGCAGTCGGCTTGCATTTGGCGATGAGACGCCTTCAGGAGGGAAGCGTAGGGGTTATTGATGCAAAACAGCATGCATTGCATTATGCCAGGTAGCTGTGTATTACTTTTGTCAAGAAGGATAAAATTTTGTAATTGAGAAATAAATGCTTAGGCCACTGTATTTTTTTTCTTTTTTAACATCCTCCAAATATATTGGGCAGCCCATCCTTTTGTAATTCAACGAGATCTTGTAGACAAGGCAGAAGTCCTTCTTTCTTTGTGAAATAACTCTTACAGAGTTCCTTCATCCTGGTTAAGGTTCTAGGAAGGGAAAACTGCTACCAGTTCTATACTTTCTGGCTCCTTTTCTCTAAAGTCCCACGGCTGCAGAGCCCTGAGCCTTGCTAGTGGAGCACGACATTGTAAAGGGAAGTTTCTCTCTGCCACTCTTTCCAGGTTTTAGAAACGTTGCCGATTTGACCTGGAAAGGACCCCAGGGGTATCTCAAGACAAATTCAGCAACTTCTATAGACAGAAGGCTGGACTAAAAGGGACGAAAGAGAGATGCAAAACATGTTTCTCGGTTCGGTTTAGCATTTGTGGTTTGCCCTTCTATTTTGGGCTAAAGGCAGGGCGAGAGTACTAGATGGCTGCACTAGCTAACTGGGATTTGGGACTCCGGGGAGACCTGATTGGTCACCTTCAGGCCAATACCTCCTGAGCAATGGAGAAGTGGAGAGTGTGATAGGCAAAGATGCTCAAATAATTGCTTATATGAGTAGTTTAAAATTCAAACCGTGAAATGGTGATTTGGTCAATTTGGCTTGGAGAATCAGTGAAATTGGGTTCAATGACTCCAGTAAGGTGGCGTAAGGGAAACAAATCAGAGGGGTCTTTGGTCACAGTGTGAAAGAAGAGGGCCTACAACCCCCTTGGTTTTAGAATCCCAGTAGGATTTCACTCACCCACCATGTTGGTAAGGATAATGCGATTCTTACTGATTCTTTATGTGGGAAGCTAGTGTGAACTATCGGGCCACTCATGTTGACTTGGTGGGAGAGTGAGTGGTCCGGAGTTCTTGGTTCAACTGATGAAAGTTGTCAATTCCTGATGGAGCTGAGATTCCCCTCTACTTTTCTTATTCTAGAGACAAGTTCATCTATGGATTTACAGATGCCTAAGCTAGGAGAAAGATATAAGTGATAAAAATAGCATTCTGAGTTCTCAAAGACTATTGAGTCTTTTATTTTAAAGTTTTATCTGTAAACCGGAGTGTAAGACAGATATCAAGCTATCGGAAATATCAGATGGCTAAAACCTGCCTTTCATGCACAGAAACAGGAATTGTGCCAATAGCTCTAGGAAGAAAAGCTAAATAGTTAATGTAGTTTATTTTTTAACCAGCCCTTTGTTTTAGAATTCTATCTTATTCCTGAGCCGATTCTCTGTCACCATGACCTTCTCCCGCCAAGAAGGTACAGTTGAGGCATCCTTCAGTAATAGCCTAGGGCTTTGGACGAGCAGGATACTGCACTGGCATTTTGCCTTTTCTTCCAATGTTTACACAACCAAGACTTATTACATGCTCTGTCATTTTGTTACTGGGCTGGCTTTGGTTTGAGAATTAGGTAAACATCAGACATTCCATCACACAATTTTAGACTCAATCTTACTTTATAATGATGTTAATGTTTATTGTACAAAGCGAGATGCATTTGTATATTTTAGCATTTTATTTCAGTCACAGAATGCAAAACCTGACATTGGCATCAGTTTGATTTGTGTGTGTGTGTGTGTGTGTGTGTGTGATTGAAGATATTAAGCACTACAAGAACGTTGAAATTTCAATCTGATTAGGATCAAAATTCTTCAGGATCAAAACACTCCTTTTCCTCCCCCTACAGTTTTACTAATTGTGTGCTACTTGACATTGTGGAGTTATTCCACAGCATGATAGCTAAATATGTGAAGTGTATTTTACTGTGCAGAATTATCAGCTCATTTTATTTGTTTTTCATGTGTTTGAGGTTATTAAAAGAACTTAAAATTAGAAGTCGTGTGTATGAGTTGAAAGAGTGAACTCAATCATTGTTAGTAGGCTAAATCATAAAGCAGTAGCCAGTATGTCAATATCAAGTAATGAAAAAAATCACAGAATTTAAAAGCATACCTTCTCTGTTTATTAGTTGGCAAGATACCAGAAAAATTAGGAGACTAGTACAATAGTGAATGGTGGAGTTGTTTATTTTCAGCACTCTCAAATTATTCTGGTTACTGAAAATGAGATAAAAGTAGATTGGAAAGAATGGCATCAAACATATTTGTTGGAGACCTCTGCTTCATGGGAAGAAATGAATTGCCCTAGCTCACTGTTCCTGAGGAATTGTGTTTCTTCAAGCTGTAAATCAAATCCCAGAGAGATAGCATGACGTTTTCCAAATAATAACTGAGGATGACATAGTTCTTTTTTGTCAGCATCAGGTTTCTGAAGTTAGACCTCAATTAAGATTCCAAAATGAAAAAGCACCCTTCACCCCCCACACGCATGGTGCATGACAGTGTCCTAAAAACAGTATATTCATTTTTAAAGTCTGGATCTCTGGCATATATCGGTCCAAAAATGTATCTATAGCCTTCTCCAAAGATCCTGATTTTTCTCCATTTTCTCTAAATTCCCAGCTACAAAGAACCTGATGTTTCTTTTCAGGAAGCAGCAGCATCATTTTTTTCCCCCAATTAATTGAAGAGCCATCTGCTTCTGCGATGCACAACACCCATTCATTCTTAGCAACAAGTGTGTTCCCCAAATCCCTGGTGTGCAATACCAAGGCACGCACTCAGTGTTGGGAGTAGAATCTGCTGGAGAGCAGCCTTGCAGGCAGGCTTTTCCCAGAGACGTGATGTATACAAAATTTGACACTGAACTTGGTCCCACATCAGTGTTGCTAATGCACGGTTAAAAGGCAGTACAAGATGCTCACACTTCGAGAATTTGGCGGGCTTACTGTCTTGCCATTATGCTTTTGAAGATGCAAGTTTAAAATGAGCAAACAACAGCAAAGGGCAGGACAGACCTGAGACAGCTCTCCTCAACCATGGCAAGAAAGCGGGGGGGGGGGGAAGTAAATTACAAAGGCCACCCGGCTAGCATTTCTACATAAAACCTTGATTGTCACGCTGTAGTATTTCATTGGTGGCCCCTTGCCTGTATTTAAAACCAGAGTTTTGGACCTGGCCAGAACACCATGGGTCCTTCTTTCTTCCAATGCCAAAAAAGGTACCTTGGGTATCAGCTTGTGAGTCAGGAGCTGGGAACCAGACTCAAACAGCTGAGATGAGTTTCCCTCTCCTGGGAGTTGGGAGACTGAGGGAAGTTTTCCTCTGAATAACCCTCTTTCCAGAAATACAGTGAAAAGACACTGCCTTTGAGAGCTGCTGTATCCACACGACGTGCTCTGCCACTGTGTCCCAACTCCCCTGGGCCTCAGTTTTGCGGTTAGTCGAGTAGGAATTGTTAAAGTCTCTGGTCTATTTGAACTTGTCTTCTCCCTTGTATATCTTGAAACAGAGACCACACATTTCAGAGTGGTACTTGCTCTCTAGAAAATGAAAGGGTCAAGAAAGCACTTACGACAAAGGTTTTCCCATGGCTTTATGGGAGAGAGAGCACAAGAGAACACAAAATCCCGTGTGAGGGCCTAACCATCCAGCAATTTCTCTAGGCCTGAGGTCCAGCTTTCAATCTAATTCCCACACAGGTGGAAGTGATGTAGGTCTCACTTTTTCTCACTGTGTGCTGACAGTCATCTCAAATGCACACGGGAGACACGAACGGAAAAATCGGCACTGAAACCAAACAAGCATCGGAGAGCGATGATGCCAGCCAGGCTGTTCCCTCACACAGGAGGTACTTACGGTCCAAGTGACTGTGCCTGATGCCCTCGACGTCTTCGGCATGGATGAAATGGTAGCATCTCTTCCCTACAATGTCTACAGGGGTCAGATCCATATAATCGCTAATCCTGCAAAGAGAAGAAAATAGGCTGGAATTCAGAAAGGGGGAAGTACAGAAATTGTTCAATGACTTAGAAACACATCTACTTACAGTTTTCATTATACTACGGGTACCCACGAGGGCGTGGAACTTGGAGGGAAAACCCATTACAGACAAGATTATTTCTTTAACGGACAACAGACTTTTTCAAAAGTAGGAAATGTACGAGATGAAGCAACTGTGTTTAAATAATGAGACAGGTTTTTCTTTTTTTTTTTTTTTTGGCATCAGAATACACATTTAGACAACATAATTCCGTGAAATTATTGAGAATCAGTAACAATACAAGATCCTTATTAGAAGCCAAGATAATTCAAGGTTACATAATAAAATAAAAACATGTTATGTTTATACGGAATGATTAGAGACACCTTTCATTTAAACAGATTGGTCTTCTATTGGGTATTTCCATGAAAAAGGGCTTCAGCTGCTTCTTGGCACAAAGTCCAAATTGGCATTCAAGGGATATAATTTAAATGCTGAGACATACAGATGCCTGGGGGTATTATCTTTTTTAGTCTTAGTCATTTGGGAGCTCTGCTTTCACTCCTGGCCCTTTTAACTGGTACTTTGTGGTGGATTCCACACAGAAACTTTTAAACCATTTCAGCAGCTCTTCCAGGCTTGTGCTCGACAGTACGTGTGTGTAAGCCTGTGTCATTGATTGTCCAGACGTCAATGTCCTCGGGCGGGAGCACAGAAAAATGGAACAGAAATTGGAAAACATGTTGGAGGAATCTGCCTGATTTACACAAAGACGTCAAAATGTTTATTCTCCTCCTCCCTGTCCGGGTACAGGCTGGTTTTGGTCAGTCCAAAACAGAATCTATCTTTTGTTTAATGTATGTTCTTCACTGTCCCTGTGCTTTTTCTGGTTTATGGCTTACAATGTATCCAAATAGGAAGTGAGGCTTTAGAAATGACACATTTAAGAAACCTATGAGATCACTGTTGGAGAGTTCAGTCTGACCCCGAGGGCGGGGAAAGAAGGAACAAAACAAAAACAGCATAATGTGGAATAAGATTAAAATACGCTACCAGTGAGTGAACTTCTCAATGTCTAATATTAAACATTAAATAATATTTCTGGCCGAACAAGAATTCTTGGTAAGATGAGACTAAGCGGGGCAATATAAAGAATGTTTTTTCAGAACCCCATGGTTTTCTGGTACAAAACAGAGTAGTTGGTGTTTTCCTAAAACCATTAGCTGCTTTCCAAGCACAGTTTACACCCCCTTCCTGCAAATGAGTGAACAAAGATGTCATTAAAAGGCCCTCATTGGCGTTTCTGAAATTTGCCAGCTCCCTGAAAACATTAGATGTTGGCTTTGCCTGCGGCTGCGCTAAGGAATGCAGAGGAGAAGAATGGTTTGCAGAGGGAAAAATCGGCACTGAAACCAAACAAGCATCAGAGAGGGAGGGCACAGGGCTTGAGCTTCTAGTTAGCGATTCCCTAATTAAACAATAACCCTCCCCCT